GATGCGGAGGTACGTTACAGTACGGAGCCGAAAAGAAAAAGCGGACGGCGGGAAAGGAGATTCGGAGACTAGAGACTTCCAGATAGGCGGAGTGGGAGTTGGACAAAACCGAGAGGACGAGGAGCAGTGGTAGGGAAAACGGGAGGGTAAAGAGAAAGAGAAAAAGAGAAAGGGAGGAAGGGAGAGGGAGGGAGGGAGAGATAAATATGAAAAGCTAGGTTCTTCCCTCCCTCCTTCCTTCCTCCCCCTCCCCTGCCCTCCTGCCCTCCCTCCCCCTTTCCCTCCCTCCCCTCTTCCTTCCTATTGTCAGTGCATGGGAATTTGCACCAGCAGCCTAAATTGTTTCTGCAAAGTCTCGGTGTAGGGGTTGATGTGAAAATGTATGCTGCCAGATTCCTTCCTTCACTTTTGAAGTATTTTGTGGATGCTTTGCTCTTTGAAGATGCATTGGGGAAGGTGAGAGTGAAGAAAGCAAGGAAGGAGAGGTGGGCACATCCTTTAAGTTGCCAAGGGTTGAAGTGAAAATAAAGAGCAAATGAGCCCAACGTAATTGGATAAATAAATGACAAATAAACACCCCAAAAGATGTCTAAATTATGGAGACTATTCAGAAGCAACAATATTCTCCTGCACCATTTATTGAGATAAATATTGAACCTGAGTTTATGCCTAAGAGCTCCCTGAAGATTCTTGATTTTCTCCCCCACCAACTTTATTTTACCCTTTTGGGGTTCTCTTCATACCCACTTTTTCTCATGCATTCCTTGACAAGCACAATTTGTATTGCCTGGTTTGATTTATATGATGGCAAATGCAAACCTACAGCAGTACCAAAACAATTATGGGAGCAGGCTAATGGAGTATTCTTTTTTTTTAAGCTGCAACAAATATTTCCCAAAAAAGCAAACAAATGACCTTTACATGGGTGAAACACTGAGACAAGTAGATGTTAATGACACTTTCACTGCAGAAAATAAATGTTCCACAAAATACACTACCGGTACTACAAAATGGGATGAGTTTTGAGATGTCAAAACTCTATTTTGACGTTGAGTATATTCTGGGTTTGCTCCCTTTCTCCCTCCCCCTTTTTTCCTTGTGATTTACAAGTGTGAAATACATCCTTTTGTAGCTAGCTCATAGGCAATTTCTCTCCAGTGCTTTGGCATTTTTTGAGAAGGTAACATGTTTAAGTTTATTTTACAAAACTCTGGAATTCTTCTTGCTTCTACAATTTTTGCTTTGCATAAACTATTTGAATTATTCAGTCTAATTACTTTTAGCATAGAAACAGGTGTTTCCTCTCCATAACCTCCCTTTTAAATATTTTTCCACCAAAATGATGTGATATTTTAGGAACTATGGATTAAAGAAGCTGTATTGCTTCCCTATTTCTAATATTGTTTTAAGAAGTACAATCAGGAAAAAAAAGTTGTGCAGCCAAAACCTAGTAGTCAGACAAACAAAAGGAACCCTCTCCTCTGTCCCAAAACTTTGTACTTCCAGAAAAAAATAGAAGATCTGGCAGAATTAATGCAGCACTGTCTAGTCACCTGCAATAACTTGAAATGGATTGGTGGATGGCAAAACAATCGAACAAGACATAAAACCAAAGGATCCTAATGAATGAAGGTTATGATTCTGCCATGCATCTGCCTACACCTCTGTTTTCTTGGATCTGTCACATTCCACTTGATTTAAGAAGAATTTTATTGCTTGGTCTATGACAGATACATATGATGTTTGAAATATAAGTATAGATGATTTACAGCTGGAGCCCTTTGTCACTCTCCAATGATCTGGTGTGCAATCACATGCCGTGGCCTCTTATTTGGAAGCCAAAAGAACTGGCATGCTTTAGTTTTAAGCTTAGTCCTAACCTTTCATTGGCCCTAGGTAATTGACTGGAGCTGTACTTTACAAAATTCTTCTTCTCCTTTTGCCAACTGAATGTAATTAAATCCTTCTTCATCTCCATGCTCAGTGAGTTAAAGTGAAACAGTTCCATTTACACTCACTGAATGTTGCATCAAGCTCCAAGCAATAGTAACTCCTTTACTAATTCTTCACTACCGGTACTTCTTTATTAATAATGTTTTTGCACTTCATCATCTCGCTGAATGCTTAATAACATCATTTGCTCATCTTTTGCTCCTCTTCCAAAAGACCATGCAGCCTGTGTTGGAGGATGGATTATACATCCTCCAGAAAAGTGGATGCAAGGCAGCAGGCAGGGCAAGTTATATACTCTGAAAGACAAACTGCCATGTTTTTCCCAAAAATAAGGCAGGGTCTTATTTTCTTTTGACCTCCAAAATAAACACTTGTCCTTATTTTCAGGAAGGTTTTATTATTTTTGAGATGCAGGAGGCAGCGAGTGTGGTCACCTCATGGCTGCTGCTGTGTT